AATTCTGCTCCCTGGGTGCTTACCTTGCTGCCCACTTCTCCACCTGGGTGTATCCCAGGTGTGATGGGTTAAATGCAGAGAATTGATTTTACCATTGTCTGGGAACATACAGTGATGACAGTCTCAGACTTCCCTTCCCAGAAAGGCTACGGTTTCACGTCGTGGATGACTTTTAGACTGGCTACCCTGTATGTCAATCAAGTGACACATTTCATAGTGAGGGTGGACGATGGGCTGACGTCTCTGTTTTTAATGACACGCGACCGACAAGTAGATCACGACTGTCGTATTGGGCACCCCTGTATTACAGTATGTGATTTAGCTAAATGTATGAGTAGACTTGGTCTCATTGAGCATCCTGGGTTTTATTTCCAATGGGAACTGTGACATAACTTCAGTGATGGTGGGTTACCAGAGTAATGTAGAATAAAAATAAATAAATACAAAAAAAGTTCCTTCTTATAACCAAAAAGGTGCATGAACACATCAACGATAGTTGGCTTTAGTTGCATTTGTTAGATCACTTTGACTCCTGTGGTTTGTAGTGATATGTAATCTAAGATCATGGAAGTGGGGATGGTTGTTGATAAAAATAAATAAACAGATAAATAAAATCTTCCATGAACAATAAAGAACAGAATAATTTTTTTTAGTATGTTATGCGGAAAAAAAAAATAGTTTAAAGGATCTCAAAGGCACCAAACAGCAGTTGTGTAAATGGCACAGTTGACACTAAAATGTGGCATGAAAGATGATTTGTTGCATTAAGTTCAACCCAAATAAAACTGATGCCCACGGCTTAAAATAATAGTTTTAAGAAAACCCCGGAGAAGCCATTTTCAGCCTTCGTTGGAACTACACAAACACATTTTACTCTTCCCCTGACGTGTCACAACTTCACCACATTCATGAAATTAATAAATAAACCATTAGTTTGTAGAGTATGGTTCTGTTTTTCCTTTTATTGTTTTACAGCACAGCAGCTTGGCAGATACAGAAAAAAGTCCTTAAACATGTACAGGTTGGCAGGGGTGGCTGTGCGTGTTTTTTTGTTTTTTTTGGTTTCGTTTTTTTTATTTTTATTATCGTAATACAGCTAATAAAAGATGCAAAAAAGCCTGTGCTGCTCGCTACATTGTGTTTTTAAGAGGTCACTTCACTGCCCACTATGGTATAAACTCACAGATCCAAGAAACCCAAAACAGGGTCCAGAATGTGACCCCCTCTACATATGAGAGAGTTGTGGTAAAAGCTGCTGTATCCATAAAAGACTCATTAGTTAATAATCTGTAGCCCAAATCAAAAAGAAAGGCCCCTCTGGGTAGACAAGCACACACCACCACTACTACAGTGACACGGTCATAAGACACTCGCGCTCCCCTCTTCATCGTCACTTTGTTGTATTCTTAGCATTAGCTACGGTTGATAGCTAACAGAGGCGGATGGTTGGTCTTAAGTGAACAAAAATACAGTTCCGTACTGGTCTCTGTTTTCACTTGGGGTTTGGGGAGTGGGATTGAGACAAGGAAAGACACCGACAGAAAAAGACATTTTCATTGAGATAATACCATAAATTTAGTAGACAAACTTAGATAACAGATATTACAGTCTTGAAATATACTATAATATATACATATAGAGAGTTATGCTGCTTTTAGATGAAATAAATATATCCACATATATTCTTTTTTTTTATAGACCAGCTTTACATTTGCAGACACATACCAGCACAATGGATAGACATGAGGAATAAAAGAGTCAAAGGAAAAAAGGGAAAGTGGTGGCTGAACTTTGTAAGGAACCAGCCAAGCTTTGCAACCGAGGTTGTGTACAAATACATATTTTTGTTGCTGACAAATATTGAAGAGTTTCAGCAACAGCTTTGAATTATAGTAACTCAGATTTGTTGAGATGCAAATTCAAGTGATTGTCATGTGAATGCATATGAACATGTCACACGATAGTTTTTCTTTTAATTAGATTTGTATTATTAATTTCTAATTGTAAAGTGCAAAGCCAAACTGCTTTTAATTTGTTTTAGAGGACCCTTTTGTGATCATGATAAGATCTGTAATTTTAAATATTCTTTTTCAGTATCTACTTAAATAAATCTGGAAGGAGAATCAATAATCCCAAACGTTAAGATTTTTTCTATTATGGTAACTGTCACAAATATATACAAACATACATATGAAATATATTTTTTTTCTCTCAAAGAAAATAAGACTAACTCTATATGACAAATTTATTTTAAAAACTTATATATATATTGTTAGTTTTTTATTTTTTATTTTATTTCAGCTAAAACAAAGTATGGCTCAGATGCAGTTCCAGGTGATCAACATGAGCTGATCAGACTTTAGGGAAAAATGGCTCAGGGATTTTTAGCAACCTAAATATTTCTGTATCTTTTTTGTTTTTATCACTTCATCCAGGTTCCCAATACAAAAATAAATTGACACTAAATTTAATTTAAACTGATTTAAATTAGGTTGATTTTTGCCTTAATTGACATTTGAGAGTAACTGCTGGTGTCAGCCAGATCAATAATTAAATATCTATACCTCATGGTTACACAATTATAACACAAGAAATGCATTTTTAAAAGTATTTGAAGAAATAAAATAAAAAAATCTCTCAGTCAGATCTAGAATTTCGGTCATCTTACACCCAACACAAGCACAGTCCAGTTGACATCAAAACGGCTCTGGCACTAATTATGAACCAATGAAATCTTTTTTTTTTTTTTTTAAATCACACAGTCACATCTTTATATTCAAACTTGACACATCATATGTGACAAGAGCAATTAGCAGCAGGCATTTTTTTCTTCCCTGCACCTTGTCGAACACTCGGTGGAGCACCACCTGACACACTAAACCTATGGTAAGCAACCCGGACAGGTTTTGGAAATATTTTGAATTTATTTCTCGTTTTTGTACGAACTGTACCTCTAGCAGGAGTTGCAATAAAGAAAACACAAAATGCAAACCGGTTTCATTCCACTGTAGCTCTATATATTTTCTTGCATGTATTGCACTTACCCTTTAACATTTCTGTTTTTTAGTTCATTTGTGTGTTAACAACAAACTATGTCAACTTTCTCCATTTCTTAACATGCAAATTTACTCCAAAATGCTACAAATCCCATCTTCAAGTATCTTACAGTCAATGCTGCAGCTGACTTGTTGGTGGCTGACTTTACATTCAGTTGAATTCAGGCAGGGAACAAAAACTGCCTTGATTTCTCTAGTTAGGTAGTAAAGAGAACATTTATGTGTACCCAAGCTTGAGTATGGCACAGTGATTACATTGTATTTGATTTAAAACATGTCTTGACATTTAGTACACCATTAGAAACAACATATGCCACAGAAGTAAAGAAATGATAAGTATAAAGCTTTAACATGAACATAGGTATAATGTATTGCTAGAGGAGAGTAGTTGAATTTTTAATGTGCATGTTACCTGTCTGTACTTATGAGCATTAGTGTATGTGTTTACATTTATGAGCATGTCCATGTGCATTTTTGAGATGACGTAATACTCTGTGAGATAAAAAGAAACACAGCTGCTAACATTTTATAGGATTGATGTCAAGCTCTACTTAAGTTTGGCACTCAGCTTTTCATTAAGCCAGAAGAATTTCAGTCACAGCTGACTTACCCTGTTGTCAAGAATACAAACACAGAAAAAGCACAGACACACCGAATAATCACATCAAGGAGATGAGCCAAGAGTGGAGAACAGGATGGTATGATTGAAGAAATGGGTAAAAAAAATATATAGAAATTACATGAGAAGGAAGTAAAAAAAAAAAGATAAAACCAAGAAAGAAAAAATAAGGAAAATGTAGAAAACCAACCAACGAAACGAAACAAAAATAAAAAGGACATAAATAGAAAATAATAAGACAAAAAAA